CATTTATAATACATTTAGACATTGTAAAAATGACTTTTCAGGGGGTGGAGAGAGAACTCAGTGCTGTTCTCCCTGAGGACCCAAGTTCAATTCTCAGCACTCACATGGTGACTAACAGCATTCCGAAACTCTAGTTCCAGGGGAATCAGAAGTTCTCTTCTGGTCTCCACAGGCATTGCATGCATTTGTTATGGTTATATACATACAGGCAAAACACTCATACATATAAAATGAAAATAATACACAAAATTTTAATGTATATTTATTGATTTTTTGTGAATTTCATACAAAACATCTTAATCATCTTTATAGATCTTCCCCTATCTGCATCCAGCTATAGACCCCCCCCACCAAATATCATGCATTCTGTCATATATGTTAAGACCTATCCAGTCAAGTTAGTGCACCCAGGTGTCCCTCAGTACAAGTTCATCCATTAGGGTCTAGTCAACCTATTTAGAGTCTCTCCCTTAAAGAAGATCAGCTCTCCCTCACCCCGCAATAATCAGCTGCCAATAGTTCTTTGGCAAAAGTTGAGGCCTGCTGTCCATTTCCCCAGAGATCTTAGAGAAAACCCTATGTCTGGCACATCAATCTACAAATTACAAATTACAAATGTAATTTCTTAGTATATAATAAATATGAATCTTGTATTTACAGACTAGTATGCCAGTCATCATTCATGAAAGAAGCTTCTTTTACAAAAGACAGAGACTATTACAGAGTTCTACAACTGTTCACACATACACACACGTGCACACGCACACACACACACACACACACACACACACAGAACTTTTTTAGGATAACTTTGAGCCTGCCTCAGTGGGCTGCAGTTGGTGCACCATTGCTTGTGTCTGCTGGCTCTCACCACTATTGTTCCTCATTCACTTTGTAACAATTGTGTGTCTCTGCTCCTCTTCATGGACTGTGACTTCATGTATTTTTAATTTTATATCAATTCTTCTTTGCACAAATGCATTTCCAAAGCTTGTCCTTCCCCGATAGACATCTTTTTTTCCTCTTCACTGTATTGTGGTTGTACCTATAAAATCTAAATTAGCATAGACATATTCTATTTTCCCAGTGGGATTGCTGTTGCTATTTAAATCCAGAGCACACCTTGGGGAAAATACTCAAAATGATCTAGCAGCAAGCTGGGCATGGTGGCCCATGCCTTTAAGTCCAGCACTTGGGAGGCAGGGGCAGGCGAATCTCTGTGAGTTCGAGGCCAGCCTGATATACACATAGTGAGTTCCAGGACAGCTGGGGCTACAGAGAGACCCCGTCTCAAGAAGACCAAAAAATAAAAATAAGAAAATTTTAAATAATTGCCAGGAATGGTGGTGCACACCTTTAGTCACAGCATCCAGGGGAGGCAGAGGCAGGGAGATCTCTGAGGCCAGCAAAGGATATAGAAGATTCACAAATTCAAGGTCTGCCTGAGTTACACAGTGCATTCAAGGCAATGCAGTGAGATCCTGCCTCAAAATTAGAAATAAAAGGGGTCCTGAAGATAAAGCTCATTGGTGGATTCCTCCATGCACAAGGCCCTAGGTTCCAATCCCCAGTACCAAAAACAGCAACAAACAACAATAAATAAATAAACTTTTTAACAAAATGTTATTTAAAATATTAGAATACTTATAGCAAACTGGCTTACAGAAAATCACTAATACTGCTTGTTTCTTAATGTTTGTTGTATGCATATTTATTCTCCTCTTTAGAGCTATTTAAGAAGATTTTATTAACACTTTTCACTAACTAGTATCATGTTCAAATTTGACACACATTTTTTCTGTTTCTAAATATTTCTAAAACCTTTCAGCAAATAAGAACTAAAAATAAATCTCTCCTATGATAAATGGAGATGGGCTAAAAAACTTTAAAACATTCTGCTACCAAGAACTTCTAAAAACCTTATATAAATGGATTTTACAAAAGATTTGAAATGCTAATTATGAGTTATTTTTGTTTCTTCTTTAAATCAGTCTCCTAAGGAACATTTTCTTAGGCACCTTACGCTGAAGTAATTTGACATATCAGAAAAAGAATGGCTAGTGAATTGACAGGTAACTAGAGACCAGAAGTTAGACAGGATCTTGATTGAATTACATACTCCTCCATCCCTCTGCCATCGCATCTATTAAGTGAGGATTATTATAACTCAGATTTATGTGATAATTTTCCTGTATCCCAAGCTACAAGTTTTCCGGCTGTCTATAACTTTTTATTATAATTATTGATTATATGTCATTCTTGGAAAATAACCAGACAATGTTCTCAAGGGCAGAGAAAGTATCTTATCACTTCAGAGTCATCTAAACCTAACAATACATACAGTGTTCAATATTGGTAATTTAAGATTTATATGAGTTTTTGGTATCTGTTAACAGTTTGCTTAAGGGGGCTTTATAAGGAAAATCATATATTCACTTGTGTCCTAAGGGCATGGGTTCAGAATCCTCATTTGAGGTTTTTTTGAAAACTAATAACACTTTTCCAAGAGAAATACATAGAAATAACATAAAGACAGTATTGTGAATCAATGAGAGAGGGTCTTACAATTTTCTCTCTCTCATACACAGAGAAAATATTGATCTAGTGCAATATTTAGTTTAGTAATTTGGAATCATTATTGAAAATATGAGATTTACATAGTACTACTAGTAGTACTAGTAGTTTCTAAAATATTTTTGCTTTGAGAGCTGAAACTGGGTGTACTATTTAGCCAATAAACATGTTTTATTTGGTTTACATTGTGTTGCACAGTGTTTTTAAAAATCTGGGGCATTTCACACAATAATTAGAGTACTCCTTTTTTAACATGTAATTTTATTATTCATCATCTCAAGCTTACGCTGTCCTTGAACTCACTATATAACCAAGGATGTACTTGAAACTTGATCTTCTTGCTCCTACCCCTACCCCCAGTGCTGGGATTGCAGGTGTGATCTACTACACCTCATTTTTTTGAGTGCTGAAAATCAACTCTAGGGCTTTGTGTATACCTGGCAAGCACTCTACCAGTTGAGCTCTGTGAGTTTTACATTTTCAAAATATAGAAAATAAGACCTATAAACACCAAGTCTGCCTTCCTTTAGGGAGAGGTAAGTAGGTCCATTATTTCCAAGATACCCAGCTCTCCAAGGATTCATTATCTTTAGGGCTATGAGTAAGGGGACCAGCTGTCAATTGTATTATGTTCAGATCGAAGGTGTTTGTGCTGATATACTCATATTTTATTCTCAAGTATAGAAAAATTAAAGCCAGAATAAGGAGGACATCTATTGTAAGAAAGACAGAGCACACATATTTATCTATGAAAGTACAAAATATGATCTTCATAGATACCCAGTCTTCTTTTTATCTCTATGGTAACTGTGTTGTTTATGTTAACTGATTAAATGGTAGTAACTGTTCTTATTGCTATACAGAGAATTATTGTACTTTGCATAATCCTTTCATTTACATGTTTTGTCCTTCTTAATTTTTTTAAAGATTTATTGTTTTTATTTGTGTGTGTGCCTGCAAGAGATTGTGTGCACCATATGCATGCAAGTGCCCATGGAAGCCAGAGTAGGGTGTCAGATCCTCTAGAACAAGAGTTATAGGCAATTGTGTGGTGCCTGATGTGGGTGCTGGGAACCAAATCCAGGTCTTCTGAAAGACCCACAAGTGTGCCTAACTTTGACCCCCTTGTTTGTTTTTACTTCGTGAAGAATCCACACTAACAGCATGGGAACATTGTGCAGCATACATGGAAGGTAGTTGAGAAACATATATACATCCATTTTCTTGGTGTGTGTATGTATACATGTGTGTGCACCTGTGTGTACAAATATGGAGGCCAGGGGCCAAGTCTGGTGCCTTCCTCAATCACTTCTTCACTTTCCTTTTTGAGACAGAATCTTTCACTCGACCACCTAGTGCTCGGTGCTTTCACTGACTGGCTAGCCAACAAAACTCAGAGATCCTCCTGTCGCCATTTTCCAGTACTAGGGTTATATGTGCGTGGTTCCACACCCCATGTTGTATGTGGGTGCCAGAGGTCTGAATTCCAGTCCTCATGCCAGTCCAGCAAGCATTTACCAACTGAACAATCTCCCCTATCCTCAAGAAACATACTTTTACTTTTCATTCATTGCCTCTACTTCTACCAAGTATTGTCATTGCATATTTTTGCATCTCTATACCAGTTGTACATACAGCTTTTAATAAATCTAAAATCATTTTAGCACAGAATAAAATATATGTGAAATATTTTAATGTTTATATTTAAAATGAGCTACAGTGCCAGGTGTGGTGGCACATGCCTTTAATCCCAGCACTTGGGAGACAGAGGCAGGCAGATCTCTGTGAGTTCAAGGCCAGCCTGGTCTACATAGTGAATTCCAGGACACCCAGGGCTACAGGGAGACCCTGTCTCAAAAAGACCAAAAGAAAACAAAAGAGCTACAGTAACTGTTTCCTCTTTCTTCTTACAGTACTGACATATAGAAGTAGGCTTGTTGGCATTTGATCATCAATGTATGACAATCTATTGGCCAGTTGGCTTTCTAGGACTTTTTTCCTAATGGCTCACTTTCCTCCCAGAAGGAATTCCCACTTTTCCTGTGGAGTTCATGCATGCCTTCTAGCTTTCCAGACCTGACTGTGGGCTCATTTGTGGAAGGATGGGAAAAGGGGAACAGCTTGCTGTTAGACATGTAGATTTCTCCCACTTGGAATCCTGTACTCTGGGCATACTCTCTCCCTGGATGTATCTGTTTCATTTGTTTATGGACGGATCCTCTATCTCTTTTTGCATCCCCTTTTTTAGATACTCATTGCTGTGCCACAGTTTAGTGCAGCAACTGGCATACAGTGGGTCCTCTGGGAATATTGGTACAGTAAACAAGAAAATAACATGAGAGCGCCCATTTTAATGAAAATGACTGGCTTCTGAAAATGCAGCATTTTGTGCAGTGTTTGCATGGTTTATATCTGTTCTCCACCAGGTGCGGTACTGGAATAATGGAGGAGAAGAAGAATCATCCAGCAAAGTAAAAGTGGCAGGAAATCAGACCTCAGCCACCCTCCGGGGCCTGAAGAGCAACCTGGAGTATTACACTGCTGTTCGGGCTTACAACAGTGCAGGCACCGGTCCTTTCAGTGCCACAGTTAATGTAACCACCAAGAAAACCCGTACGTAGATTCCTAATTTTTCCATTTTGGGAATATCAAGGAGAATAGTCTGTATTAGAAATGGTAGCATCCTCTGTCACTCTGAGGATAGCTCAAGTCATTAGCCTGTAAATGATGTAATCAACCTCCGGATGATGTAATCAACCTCCACATCCTTACAAGCCCACAGACCTCCCACATCCTTATCTTTATTTTTAATTATGTGCATGCATTTATATTGGTGTGGAAATATGTACACTATGTACATAGGAGTGCAGTTGCCTGAGGAGGCCAGAATAGACTTCAGATCCCCTGGAGTGGGATTATAGGCACATGTGAGCTGCCTGAGATGGGTTCTTGGAAGTTAACTCAGTTCCTTTCCAAGGGCAGTACACACTTAAACTTTGAGCCATCTTTCCATCACCAATAACCCTAAATCTTTAAGTAGGTCTTCCACATGAACATAAATGTGCCAGGTTTGAAAACTCTTAGTGTGGGATGCTAAGCTCATCCATTTTTCTTTTTAAATGTGATGAGCTTTTTGGGGTCTACCTTCATATCTTCTTAGTTCCCCAGAGCTTGAGCAGTAGTGATAAACTATGAATGACTTTAAGCTAGTGCCAAAGAAGGGTGTCTATTTGTCTCTTCCTTTGCTTTCTTTCTCACATTATTTGAAAGGTGACAATATGAATGAAAAGGCTATGATGAGAATGCACAGTCCACGTGAGTCTGCTGGCCCATAAAAATTTAACCAGTGATGCCAACGTTGTCTTCAAAGCTGAATCTTTGCTGCCTATGTGTTCACTCATGAGCAAAAGTGATGTGTTACGATTAACTTAGACAACAAGGAAGACAGCTGTTAACACTATGGGTGTCCCACAGACGTTTTCAACTGAGAGCTCCATGTATAACCACTGTGTTAGGTTACTACTTGCTCACAACATGACCATTCTGGTGTGAACTGCCTCCTCAATTGTGGTCCTCATCATAGCTAGAAGCAGTTGAGAATATTTCATGTCCCAAGCACTTCATGCTCATTCCTTCCTATTTGCACTACCGATGGGAAGATTGGGCGGCAAGGGCTTAAGTACCGGAGCGCACTCGTGGTTTTGCTTGCGCATAACAGTTTCTTTGATTTACTTTCAAATTTTATTTCGGTAAATCTGTGTGCTTAATTGGTTTTTACAAAGAAATGAGACAATGATTATTCTGGTTGGCATTGCATGGATACATCTTTATTTGCATGCATCATGTCCAAACTTATTTGGCACATACATTTATTGCCTAAGTTGCTAAGGCATCTGATAACCTACATATGAATATTATGAACTATCAGTATTATAGTAGTGATAATTTAATGTAGACATGAAGCCTGCTCTTACTACTTTAGATGTTAATTAGCCATAGCCATTTGATAGATAAAGTCAGTGTGTTTAGCTTTGCATTATTTATAGAAAGAAAAAAGTGTGGCTAGCAACGTCCTAGTGTAGTGAGCACACAGAGCAAGCATAGCCACAAAGCAGTTTCTTCCCTTCAGTAGTGTTTATTTGTAAGCAACCAACTCATGTGAGGATTTAACTTTGTCCTTACCTAATTATTAGGGGATGTGTGACCCACTTAGGAATAATGCCTATTTATAATTAGACCAAGAGTGTTTTGCCTTGGAAATACATAAACTGAAAATGTTCCATATTTACAACTTTCTACCAAATATATTTGGATCTTTCAATAATAATTCTGAGTTAGTACAACTTATACGTTCAAAGCCAGCATCAATCAGAAATGATGATTGCAAAAATACACACAAGTATGCTTAGCTCTTTTTTCTGACTTAATAATCAATGTGATTACTCACTAGGAAATACGATTTTAAAAGAGAGCATGACGGTCTGGTGAGATGGCTCCACAGGTAAAGGCACTTGCCTCTGAGCCTGATGACCTGATATGATCCCTGGAAAACAGATGACAAAAGGAGAAAACTGACTCTCACAACACTAATTGTTCTCTAACCTTCACACGTGTGTTGTGGCACAGGCACACCTGCGTGCACGCACACACACATGCACACACAAAAAATAAATAAATTAAATAAATAAATATTTAAAAGACAGCATGATGTCATGGCAGTATCAATAACTTAGTGAATTAGGAAGACAGTGTGCAGAGAACAAAAAGAAAAATCTCAAAAAAGAAGTCAACTCCTTCTATACTGAGGAGATAGCATATGAACACCTAAAGTAGAAATGTACTCATAATGATGATGATAGCTATGGTACTAATGGAAAGCCGTGAGCAATTTCTGGTCACAGTCCTAAGCACTTTTCACATATTGAATCTTAATTCTCATGGCAGCACCATGACTTGGAAGCTATTAGTATCTTCACTCTAGACATGAAAAGGCTGAGCCACATAAAGGGAGGATTCGAGAACTTTATGTTGCTAGAGCAAGGCATCCAAATCCAGATTGCCTCAGCCACTGTCTTTTCTTCTCTTTCAACCACATCATTAGAGTAGTCATGACTCTTTTAACAATGGTGTTTGCTATGATTTTGCTCTGTGCTTATGGGCTATGTAATGTGCTTAAAGGTAGACAGGAATCCTACTCTCATAGAGTTGTAGTCTATGGGAATTTTTAAATGGAATAAAATCTCTTTAAAACTGTGCACTTAAATGGCTCCAGTTCACTTGGAGTATGTTGCACATTGATCTATAAATGTTACCAACATATGGTTTTCTACATTAAGTGGGAGATTTCATAAATTCCTCAGACATCTTAAAATTACATGTAAACAACTTATTCATTTTTAATTATGTTAGTAATTTTTCAAGTATGTACCAAAATAGAATAAAAGCATCTTTTATAGCTATTTCTAATATTCTTACCAGTAGCTTTGAATAGTCACTCTAACTATTGGTATGGTTTAGTTCCAAATCCTATTTAAGAATCTGGGCAAGGTTAATGTGATTATCATTTGAAGAAAATTATCTGTATGCTGCAGGTATAAAGAGCTAAGATGTCATTTTTGATTCCTGGCCTGGCTTGCTCTCCATTTTCTCCTCTAGTTTATGAACTTGACATAGACAGAATCCTCTGTGCCTTACCCAGGCCCCTTGCCCAGCCCAACCCTAGCACATGGCAGCCACTCATTAAATGCTGACTGGATCACTGAGTGATTAAATGAAACCTAAAGAATCAGGCCAGCTTGAAGTACTATTATTAATCAAATGTACTTCCTCCTGACTGCACATTGTGAATTCAAAATATATACTGCAGCCTTTTACCATCTTGCTTAAGATGTGCAGGCTGCATGTCCTTGTAATTGTGGAAGTTAGTATGCAAGGCTTTACATCAATGCAGAGTGTAGGTGTTATCTGATTAATGTAACACAACAAGCACTGTAACTTCCATTAAACACTTAATTTTTGATATCCAAATGCTTGTACTTTCTAAGAGCATCTTAAACTTGCTATTAATTAGCCTCTTAAGTAACTGAAGATGGATTCCTGTCACTTGGAGACATGATTCTTATTATCTTCCATCTAATGAGACTGATGAAGAAGATTTGCAGATGGCTTGAAAGTGATGAAATGTGTTGATTTCTAAAGGGAAACATATTGACAGTCTTATGTCCAGAATTTGCAAGAAAGAATCTGTAGGACAAATATTCTGCCTCTTGTAATTGGAAGTTCAAGTGGCAGTGCTGACTGCCACTGAATGAATTCAGGGCAACAGTGTCCTCAAAAATTATCTAATAAGATCAAACTGAGTATTTCTTAAGCCAAGATCTTGTTTATGCCTCTCCTCTTAAAGACTCCTATAACATGCTCATTTCAGCAAGCATGACCCTGGGATTGCAGTTCCTTTGCCCCCAAACTTCAATCTGCCTTAACTCTCTTTGGGACTCTAAAACTGATCTGGAATCTGACTTTATCATGAATCTGCTACTTCCTATGTGCTGGGGAGATAGCTCAGAGGGTAAGGTGCTTGCTGTGCAAACAAAAGGACTGAGTCAGGATCCTCATAACACATGTGAAGTCAGAAGTGATAGCACACATCAGTAGTCCCAGCCCTCCTACAGCAAGATGGGAGGTGGAGGAAAGAGTCCCCAGAACAAGAGACTTTGGGAAACAAGAGACTCTGCTTCAAACAAGGTGGAAGACAGGGATCTACACTGAAGGTTGTCCTCTGACCTTCACATGCACACTGTGACACACTTACCTGTACACACATGGTATACACAAAGACACACAAAGACAAAAATTGAAGAAAAAAAAAAAGAAAGAAAAAGAAAACTCTTACTGCATTCATTGCTGCTACCCTAATGCAGGATGCTCTATCCCTCCTAAGCATCAGAAGCAGTGGCCCCTCACTATTTAGCTCTTTCCATTCCTGTCTCTCTTATGCCAGAGTGATGTTGATGTCAAACTCCTGCTCAAAACGTTCCAGTCACTTCCTATCTGTTTTAGTTACTTCCTAGTGCTGTGATAAAACACTGACTAAAAGCAACCTGGGGAGGATGGGGTTTATTTCACCTTGCAGCTTGCAGTTCGTCATGGAGGGGACCCAGGACAGGAACTCAGAGGGGGAATCTGGAGGAAGGAACTGAGGTTCAGACAATGGAGGAACACCACTTATTAGCATGCTCAGCCTGCTTTCTCTTCTTTCTTTTCTTTTCTTTCCTTTCTTCCTTTTTTGTAAAATTTTTATTGAATTTTTGTGTATTTATTCAGAGCATCTTTTTTTAATTGGGCTTTTATAATTTCATACAACAGTTCTTAATCAAATTTAGATCCCCTCTCCCATTGATATCCCCCACCCCACCACTGGACCTCATATATTCCACCTTACAGCCATATATGTTAAGTTGTATCCAGACAGGCATTTGTGCCCAAATGTCCTTTGGTACAAATTCATCCATTGGAGTCTAGTCAGTCTATCTCCCTTCTGCAGGTCCTTGACATTTACTTTTCCTTCCGCTTCACCAAATTTCTTCCAGATAGTCATGAGCCTTCCCCTTTTC